TTTGACCCAAGATATTTAGTAGCTCTTTAAAATGGGAAACAAAAATGCATGCAGCCTGAGCTGGTGCTCTCAGTCATGCTCACAGAGTGGGACCGTAAGCACTCTGAGCTCTCTAGCTCTGTTTGTGCTGGTTCAGCTGCAGGCTGCTAAACTCTGCTAACACAAGTCCTGCGTTCCCACAACAGATCCCTTTAGGTTGAGTTGCCCTCTCAACCTGAAGTTGCTCCACAGGTGGTATGTTGAGCAGAAGCAGGCAGCTGAACTGGAGATGTGGGCCACATGCTATGCTGTCAAGTGTATTATTGCTGGGCTATAGGAACGAGTCACTTTATGAGCCATCGAGCTAATGAAGCCTTATGTCTTGATATTTGGCTTCTACCATGTCTAGCAAAGCATCAGTTATTTTCCTGCCCTTGGGATATTTCTCATGTCTCTTACTTCTGTGATTTATCTGATATTTAATGATGGCTGACTGTTCCTCCCTGTAGCTCTTGTCTCAGCTGGAATGCTGATTTTCTGTCTTTCGCCTGTTTCCTGGCTATATCATAAAGTCCTTAGGTAACTGATATCATTAAGGTTTCTACTCACTGTTAAATCTGTTTGAAACTGTACAACAGGGTCTAGTGTTATGGCAAAGGTGGGCAGGCAGTTTAACTTCATAAATCTTGGTATCTCAACAAATTGAAATAAAAAGACTCCAAAAAGCATGGGTTGGTGGGATTCAGGATAGAATTTCATGGAAAAAAACAGAGCTCGAAAAATGATTAGCAAAAGAAAACACAAACCTAATGAAACTTTCAACCTTGGTCTATCAAAAGATGTTTAAATTGTTGATGCAAAGGTGTCAGTTGGTCCTTCTGAGACCTGCTTTGCCCTAAAAGCAGCTAAGAAGTGAAGGCTATAACCTTTCTTTCTACAAGCACAGTACTTCTTTAGAAATCACTTCCGAAAGGACTTTGACCTTTCCAATATTCTTAAAATGGAAAAATTGACCAACATCTTGCTCCCCAAACCTCCCTTCCCCTTCCTGTCCTGCAAAAAAAGTAAAATGTAGTGAGGTCAACTATTTTTTTTTAATTTCTCAGTGCCCAGAATTAACCGTTCCAGGCCAACCTCGTCATCTCCTTATTCCCATTTTACCTATGAAAGGTCTGATCTCAATCCATGTGTAGTAGTGATCAGTCTTTCCATTGACTGAAAAGAAGATGGGTCTGAACATCAACTGGGTTGCTCACAGGACAGTCAATGAAAGGAACTTTGCCAAATTTAGTCATAACAATTTTCAGACTTTCCTTTCTTCCCCTACAGATCGAACTGTTGTATCTTGACAATGGAGCTGTGGGTGGGGAGAGGATTTGTTCTGTGCAGCTGTTTCTTGAGATAAAACCAAATTTTGAGCTGAACTAGAGATTTGACATCTATTTAGAATGACCATCAACCTAGGAAGAAGAACACACACACACCAAAATGAAAAAAACAGTGATGGTGATTAAATCGCATTAATGCTGAGAGACACCATAGTCTGTAAGACACTGCTGGGATGCTTTCCACTGATTTCCATTTGCCTCAGGTGGGATCATGGTACCCACCTCTACTACTACCTGTGGGAAGAACGGCATGAACTGAGATGCCTTAGCCAGATGCAAACTCTTTTCTCATTGAAAACTTCCCAGTAGTATTTTTCTTATGCTTTTCTTTCCTGACTAGCTTCCCTTTTATCTCTAGAAAGTGGCTGCATGTCATCTTTGGTTGAATGATTGTCTTATCCACAGTTTTAAATCCCCTGGGGAGCCTTAGCGAAAATGATGCTATACAATAGAGGATTTAATTAATAATCTTTGTCATTGTTTCTTTCCTCACTGATAATTCCTCCTTTTGCTGTTCTCTGCAGAAGACGATGGCTGTGGTTGCATCAGTGACTTCACAGAGCTAGACTTTCAGATCAAATTTGGCATTGACAAATGTCAACCTCGGAGCACTACCACATGATTTTGACAGTGAGAGTGCAGTTCAGAAGGGCCTCGTGGGACTAACATAATTCTTGTGTTTTCTTTCAGGAGCTGTCCTTCCTTTGCAAGAAACTCCATTTATTTCTAACACTTTCCTCCTCCATAGTTAATCTGTTTTCAAGTTTTGGGACTTTTAAAATCAGGTCTTGGAGTCACAGGCCTCTATCAAGAGCTCTGCTACCTGATGGGAGGAAAGGCCTACACAGATAACCCACCTCCCATCTGCTAGCAGAGGACTCCTTCACCTCCCATGGAATGAGTGCATCTGGTATCTGTTGCTACTGGGAGGTTCTGGAGAGTCACAGAGTACTATAGATTTGATCAAGGAAGAATAAGATAATGAGGAAAACTTATATATGCTGTGGGTTTGCCAAGTTCTCGGTGCATTTCTTTGCGTGTCGCTCTTACCACCATATGCTACTTTGTTGACTGGCACTATGTAATCTAATCTAGTCCTAGCAAAGACTTATCTAAATATTGGGATTTGCTGAATTCCTGAGCACTGACATTTCTGCTGGCTACATCAGAACCCAAGTCTCTGCCTCTTCACATTGGTGTACTGCCTGCACTCTGTGCTGGCCTTCCCTTCTTCTTACCTGTGTTTGCATCTCCCTTCCAGGTCTGGATGGATGCAGGCACTCAGATCTTCTTCTCATATGCAATATGTCTGGGATGCCTGACAGCTCTGGGCAGCTACAACAAATACCATAACAATTGCTACAGGTAACTGGAACACAGCTCTACAATCTAGAGCCTTCCCTTCCCTGAACATCAGTGCAAATTGTCTGGTCAACTGCTGGTGGCAACTGGCCATTTGAGGTGCCTTGTTTTCCTTTTCTACTCAAGGCATAAGAAAACCCTTTCCAGATGTTTTATCTGATTTTTTTTTTTCCTGTTGCCATGTTGCCCAATCCAGCTCTTTGTGCAATATACCCAAGGGAAATGCAAGGAACTTTCTGGCCATATCACGGGTGATAAATTCCCTCTTCCACTCCAGCTGTCAGCCAGTAAGCGGAGATCCTTCATCACTAGTTTTGTTATCTTGATCTCCCCTTATTAAAAACATGTATGAGTAACTGTCGAGGAAGCAGAGCTGTAAGAGCTAATGGCCCTGGACTGAAATCTTTTCACCTTGTAATTTATCATTCTTCCTGTTAGTTCAGACCTGGTATCTTGCACCATGCTACCAAATTGGAATGGGCTGTTGATTTGAAGTGGTCAGGGGAAAGTACACTCATTTCACTGCAGATATAGCCAGTATCTGGAGCTGTATCTCCAGAGGCAAAAGGCCAGTGTAAGTGAAAAAGCCCAATAAAACTACCTGCCTCTCTTCTCACCATTCATTTGCTGGTCTTCCTGCTCTTGGCCCTGGATTCCCCTGCCCTTTAAATTCTGTTTTGTTGTTATTACTGTGGAGGGTCTGAGCAGACCAGGCTACATGATCCTTGCATCTTTATCTATCTCTCTTTACCTTAGAAATTTACTCCTGTTTCTCCAACAGAAACTGGGTGGAATCCACTCTTCCTTTTCATATTCTTTCTCCCAAACCCCCTTTTTTTTTTTTTTGAGAAAAGAACTGTGGGAATGGAGGTGATAACAGAGCTCGTTCTGACCTACTGCATGCCTTTGGGCACTAACCATCTGTATCTCCAGTCTGGATGTGCAACATGGAGATGATGACAAGGGCTGCCTAGCACCAGTGTTGTGTAGTTTCCATAACTTCAACTGAGAGATGTTATAGAAAGGAGAGAGATGTCTGTCTGCACAAAATTCCTTTCTGCTATTCAGCCATGCTAGGGAATTTGTTTATTGTTACAGTGTCACAGCTCTGTCCATCCTGTTCCCTAGGTATGGAGCCAGTTCTAACGAGTCTGTCCTATGTTCTGCAGCCTCAGTCTGTGCAGGAAGACAGGGCCAGTTTTTGACAGGACACCAGGATAAGAGTGTGGTGCTCCACTGAGCTGCTGCAGGCTAGATGTAGCCACCAGTGATCTGGAGAAGAAAAGGGATGTGGGGAGGAAGGACCCTTGTCTATGGGGCAGTACTCTGCGATGGCACCAAATGGCTCGAACTGTTTGCCCTCCTTCAGGGCAGTAAGGAGAATCATTTGGGCTCAGAGCATTCCCTTTCTGGTGGAAATCTGAGGATCACTGTTTGACCGTTCCCCATGTTACTGTACATCATGACACCCCCTTCCAAACCCCGGGTAACTTGAGAGCACCTCCCAGCCCATGCCTCTCCTAGAAGGGTTTAAACTTTCATTAATTCATCTGGGGGAAAGAGAAAGAAACACCAGGAAGGAAGAGGAACTATGTGAGGTAAATGGGTGCTTGCATAAACTGATTGAGGGTATAATTTGGATGAAGAGTAGGTAGTTTCTAGCAGTTGGAAGAATGAGTTTGTGGTGTGGGCTTCCAAATGCATTTGTTGACCCTGGCAGAGCATGAGCCCTGCATTAGCAGGGTGATCCACTCTGGAGATCGCTCTCAGCCTCTCCTGCCTTAGCAACAAAATGAAAAGGTAGAGCAAAGACGTTAGGTGCTGTGCAGTCCTGGCAAAGAAGGAGTTGGGTTTTTTGAAGAAATAATCTGAACTATTCACACAGTCTGTGGGCTTTGCATGGTCTGTAGTCTCTCTCCAGAAATGGTGGCGGACAGTGAACAAATGTAGTTAATGTGTGGGGAGGAGCATGAAACCAAAAAAAAAAAACCCGAAAAAACCCCAAAAAACACCCCACACTTGATACCTTGATGCAGAAAAGCACATTAAATGAAGTCAGAGTAGGCCTTTATTTTAACTACCGGAAGTGTGTGTTCAATTTGGTTCAGAATCTCTTGGAAGAAAGCTGCAGATTTTGTTTTTGTCCCTAGGATTGTAGTCTTGAGAGGCCTAGGGAGACTGGAGTGTGAAAAGGAATCAGATGGATAAGAGATTTTTAGTTTATAGAATAGATGGATAAGAATGAAGTGAAACAGTGGCAAAAAAAAAGATAGATCACAGAAAATAAATGGGATGTCTCCATTTATCTTTTTCTCGTAATGTGAGAACCTGGAGATATCTAGTAGTGCTGGCAGCCAAAAATTAATAACATTTGGAAAATCTATTAAGGAAAAAAATACTCTTGACCAAAGATAATCTCTAGTACTTTTATTGTCACAGGATATCAGACGAACCAGGAGAAAGAGAGGGAGGGCAAAAAAAGATCAAACATTTAAATGGGTCACCAGTCTACCTCATGGGCGCCTGTAGCTTGAGGTCTTGCCTTGCTCCTGGCGCCCCGCTGATGTTGCCCCTTCTCCTCCCCAGGGACTGCGTGGCACTCTGCTTCCTCAACAGCGGCACCAGCTTTGTGGCCGGCTTTGCCATCTTCTCCATCCTGGGCTTCATGGCGGAGGAGCAGGGTGTGCCCATCGCCGAGGTGGCCGAGCCGGGTGAGTGAGGGCCACGGCGGGCGGGCATGGCCGCAGGGTACCCTGCGATGCGCTCCACGTGGTGGCCTGCCCTGGGGCGATGGGCATTGCAGCTGCAGGCTCCTTCCCATGGGCAGCTTCCTCCTTGCCTCTGAGAAGGAGAGGAAAGGGAGTGCCAGCTGTGAGATGTGTACAAGAATAGCACCTGCTTCTCTCTTGGCTGGTGGCGTGACGGGCCTGCAAAACGTGTGTCCTGGCTTGCTCTGCGCTCGCTGGGACTCAGGCTCGCTCCTGCTCCCAGGCCTCGCGGTAGTGGTGCAGCCATTGCTTGCTGTGCTTCCTTTCCCTTCCTCCCGGCTGGCCCCACTGCTCTTCCTCCAGCTCTGGAAGCGGCTGGGTATAACTGGAGCAAAAGGCTGCATAGGCTGTGCCTTGCACCAGGGCGCTGCCCCACGTGGCTCGGGGCACACGGGTCTCATGCTGCGTGCCACCCCTGCCGTGCTGGTGCTGGCAGTGATGCTGCTTCCACAGCAGCACCGGGCTGGGGTGCAAGGCATCCGGGAGCTGCCAGATCTGCTGTCCGCTGCCTGCTTTAAATGCCCTTCTCCTCTCAGGGCCTGGCCTGGCATTCATCGCCTACCCTCGGGCTGTCGTCATGCTGCCCTTCTCCCCGCTCTGGGCCTGCTTCTTCTTCCTGATGGTTGTTTTGCTGGGACTGGACAGCCAGGTAAAGGCACAGGGGGATTTTCTGCAGGACAAAAAGCATCTCCTCTTCAAGCTTGATGCAAATGGATTCAGCTTAACTGACAGAGAAGATACAGGGGAGTGTGGGGAACCAGATCCTGGGCAGCAACTTTCCCTGCTGAGAACACAGTGCTGGCCCAAGCAGCTATGGAGGATCAGTGGGCAGAGGCTGAAGGGGGAGGCATGAGGCTTGGAGGGTTTCAGCCACTTAGTAAGAGGTGAGGCCACTTCTAGATGTGCAGAGGCAATAACTGAGGTTCTGGAAGCAGTGTAACTACCTCAATGTGGCCCTGCACTGAGCCAGTTATGAGGACTCATCTCCACACAAGCAATTAGCCCTGTGCAGTGCACTGTGCTCCATGAGGCAGCAGCGGGAATTGCAGGGCTTAAGATAGTTTCTAGGTGGCAGTTTCCCGGTCTGGTCATGCTCTTTGGGCATGGCCTGAAGTACAGACAGCACCAGTGGTTCTGGCTGAGATCAGTTTTGATGGTTCCTTCTGGCTGAGGGGAGCCTGCCCTGAGAGCGGCAGGCAGGACCGAAGCTGGGTGCGTTAGCCCAGAGAGTGGGGCTGACAGAGGTGGTGACCCTGCTTGTTGCAGTTTGTCTGCGTGGAGAGCCTCGTCACTGCTCTTGTCGACATGTACCCCAGCATCTTCCGCAAGAAGAACCGCCGAGAAACCCTCATCTTGCTGGTGTCCGTCCTCTCCTATCTGGTTGGACTGGTGATGCTCACAGAGGTATTTTGGGATGGGGGAGAAGTGAGGAGTCTGCACCCCCCCGCTCCAAGCATCTGTGGGGTCCTCACTGGGTGTGAATCCCCCCACCAGTGAACAGTGACTGGATGGGCTGGGGTCTGGGGGAGGTGGGCTAGCTGGTGATCCAGCTGGCTTGTCCAACTGCATGGTGTCTGATGGGAGAGGGCCAGGGAGGCTGTGAGCAGTGGACCTGGACATCCTGGGAGGTGGCAGTCCTCTCCCCTCCCATTGCCCCAAGAGCATGATGCAACCCATCCTGCTGGTGGCTCTTTGCTGCTGGGTGAGGTTTGGGCCACGCAAGCGTCTGACCACTACATGGCATTAAAGAGCCCAGGGTGTATTTTGGAAAAGTGGATATTGTGTTGTAGCTCTGAGCTGTGCCAACACAAATCCTTCCCTTTCCAGATGGCATTTGAAATTTTCCCTTTCATTCCTGACCCCCTGTGCTATTTACATGTGCTAAAACAACCTGACACCTCTCCTGCCTAGAACGATAATTAGAGCTCCAGGCAGATGATGTTGTGGTTGAGATTTGTCTTTTCAGATGGCTAAAGCTTTGCAGCTGTAGCCTGTTGCATGGTTGGGTGAACACCTCTGTCCTTCTCTTTCCTACTGGATGGAGCTGCATGAAAGCTGAGATCAGGAAACTTGATGGATCTGAGTGTCCATTACACTGGTTTCCTGTGCAATACCCTCTTTACGAAGTGTGATTCATTACCTGGAGTTAAAACTGTTTTCATTTAAAATCTTTGACTTCTCGAAGTGGATGGGGTTGATGCTGCTATGATGGAAATAGGAAAAAACTATTTCCATCTTCTCTTTCCATTTGGACCTGATGTTGTAAAAGTAGCCTTTGATGTTGCATCTGCAGCTTTATGTCTGGCTTAATTATGAGCCTGTTTTGTAGACTGGCTTGCAGAACTGGGCAGTGAAACACCTAGTTGCTAGCCTGTGAGCTCAGAGCAATAGGTGCTTGCAAAATTGCACGCACATCTATTTCCCTGTGCAAATCAGAAGGCTGAATTTAATCAGGTGCATCATGTCTCTTGTGGGCATCTCCTCCACCCTCACTTACAAGATGTGATTTTTTTTATATATCCTGTCCTGAAATAGCCCCACGATTTCTGATGGTGACCTCCTCTCTCCTGCCCTGCCCTGGAATGAAGAGGGAGAGACTCTGGAGAGCAGGGAGGTTTCTGGGGATGCTGCGGGTGTAAGCACAAGGGATATGGCCTTTGCTGTTTCCCAGAGAGAAATAAAGTGCCCCTAGCTCAGGGGAAAATGTTCAGTTTGATTCCTGCTCTGGCTGGAGCTCTTTGCCTGTCCCTCATTCCTTTCCCTTCTCTTCCTACCCACCTTGCCTTGCTCCCTGATTGGCCTTTCCCAGGGTGGGATGTACGTCTTCCAGCTCTTTGATTACTACGCTGCCAGTGGCATGTGCCTGCTCTTTGTGGCCATCTTCGAGACCCTCTGCATCGCCTGGGTCTATGGTGAGTATGAACCAGTGCAGGGGGTCCCCAGCCCTGGTGTCTCATGCTCTTGCTTGGTTCAAGCTCAAAATGCTAGCCCATAGCTGCTCTTGGCCATTGCTTTGCAGTGCAAGACAGCCTGTTGAACCTTGTTTTGGTGCCTGTGGACTCACCTGCTGGGGGTCTTCCTTCCCTGGGGAATCTGCTTGGCTTCAGGTCCTAGTTTGGTGGTGCTTGCTAAGGGGCTGGCCATGGTGACCTACTGTCCTCTTCTAGGTGTTTGAATGTTATTCCAAGATGCAGACTGAAGCTGTCCACATCCCCAGTGAGGTCCCCAACAGGGCTGCCAGCTGTCCTAAGGTTACTGCAAGTCTTTTGGGGAGCTCCTGACCAGTTGTCAAATGGGACCCCTGCTTACACAGGGGTCCTCCCCAGGAGGCACAGACCCTATTGCCCTTTTTGCTTGGTAGTGATGAGGCATACCTCCCCTCTTCTGCAGGTGCTGAGCGTTTCTACGGTAACATTGAAGACATGATTGGGTACCGGCCGTGGCCAGTCATCAAATACTGCTGGCTTTTCATCACACCTGCTGTGTGCGTGGTGAGAACCTGCGGGTATGGGGCTGGGTAGAGCTGGGTACCTCTGAGGTGTAGACACATGCATTCATACATAAATATACACTAACTTGAGAGATGCCTCTGTATGTAGAGAGGCGTATATGGTCTGAGCTTTGGGAGCCTGTTGCTCTGTGTATGCCTGTGACCTTTGGACCATGGCATGGGGCAAAGCGATGGGGACCAACTCAGTCTACTGCTTGGCTGAGCAGCTTGCTTCCATGCCCCGTGCTAAGCATGGGGCTCATAGCAGCAAAACTGGCTTGTGTCTCCCCTAATATTCTAGGGAGCTCTTTAGTGCAGTGAAACTCTATGCGGAGGTGCAGAGTTGCCAGGAAGAACCTGTTTTGGTTAATGGTGCTTATTCTCTTGCTCTTTTTCCCTTGGCTTCACCCCCCGGCCAGGCAACTTTCCTGTTTTCTCTGATCAAATACACCCCGCTGACCTACAACAAGAAGTATGTGTACCCGTGGTGGGGAGACACCCTGGGATGGCTGCTGGCCCTCTCCTCCATGGTGTGCATCCCGCTTTGGATCATCTACAAACTCTCCACCATCAAAGGCTCCCTCAAAGAGGTGAGGCTAGTGCTCTGGGCTGAAGGCACGTGTCAAAGTCCAATCCTGAAGGGAGGTTGTTTGTGTGCTGCAGGTTAATTATTAGGGAGACTAGATTTAATTGACTCAATTAATTGAGAATCCATTGCTATAACAAACTGTTGGCTTTATTGAGTTCTGACTGGAGGGCTGCTCAGAGTCTCCTGTTGCCTCTTGGTGCTACTTGGCTATTGCTTCTGCATCTTTGCATGCACCATCAGGAATCAGCTCCTTAAATGGTGAGCACAGAGATGATATCCACTGCTCCAACTCAGTTTGGAGGTTGCCCTTGACTCAAATTTGAGGGCTTACTGACCTTCACTTGAGCTGCTTTCTAGTTGTGGCCAGGAATGAATGGGCAAACAAGCTTTCCCACTGTGTCTCAGATGTCCCATGTGCTCAGTGCTCATGGGGCTGTAGTAATTAGTTCAAAGGTCTGTGTGTTCTCAGATGCTGAAGTGATGGATGCCTCTACTTCAGGATGCCCTGGCTTTTAGGGAGAGGACTTGCAGCCCTGTCTGCCTGACTGTGTGATAGCAGTGACTAGGAGGGGAGGGCCCAGATTGCCTTTTGTGCTTGCAAGGAGATGTTCAGTACCTGCATTTGTCTTCCAGAGACTCCATCAACTCACTTGCCCACTTGAGGACTTGCCTTCCAGGCCGGGCACGGGACAACCTCTTCCTTCCACCAGAGCTGGCCTCCTAACGCTGACAGAGCTTGAATCTCACTGCTAGGACCAGTGCGGCTCTCCCTCCCCCACTCCAGGATGGCTTTTATACAGCCTTTACCACCTGTTGGATAACACAAGGATTCTTCACTCACCAAGGAGAGAGGGATTTTTGAGCTGAGCTCCCGTCCTTGGAAGATTTGAAGAGATGACGAAAAGGCTACCATGGAGATGGCCTTCATGGGTTGTGGAGTTAGCAATGCACCTTAATCCTCTCCTTGGAGAGCATTCTAAATCAAGTACTGCTGATCCTGAGTGTCCCTGGGCTTCCAGTGGGCAGAAAGGAAAGACTGATCCTGAAGTGGAGAGTGTCAGAGGTGTTGCTCCTGTGTGGACTTTGGGAGCTTCTCTATTCATTCCATTAAATCCTTGTTTTTTTTCCCCTCTAGAATTGCTCTGTTTCGGCTTTGTCCTCTCTGTTTCTCTTGCTGATGGCCTAAGCAGGCTGTGTATCATGTATCAATGGAGTAGAACAGGGCTCTTTTGCACTGGCACAGAGGTATGGGAAAGTGCCCAAAGAGTAAGAGGCTTGGCTAGGGTGGAAAGGAAGATAGGGAACGCTGATTCGGAGGCACCCTCTAAAGCAATAGGCTTGGGATACTTAGGGGGAGAGTGTAATGCCACCTTCTGCTGAAGCCATTGCCAGCTCCCAGCAGAAACAGTCATGCGGCTGGTGAGTCACTGGGCTATTCCTGGGGTCTGAGAGAAGTGTGTGGGTTTCCATTTTCTTCATGCAAGTGGAGGATGATGGGAAACTCTCCCTCATCCCCACAGGTCTATGTCTTTTTTGTGCTGACTGGCTTCCTGGTGCTTTAGAGATGGTTATTTTGGTTTTCCCGCATATGGCAGGAGGGCTGCTCAGTTGAAATGGGATCTGCTTGTAATGTCAGCTCATATAGCCACAAATGGTCCCTCACTTACAGGCTGTCCAGGTAAAAATAATCAAAGAGCTGATGTGTTCAGTGGTGTAACCTCAGTATCTGAGGAGGGCAGCCAGAGGACATGTGACCATGGGGAGCTGGATAACTCTCAAGTAACCTTAAGAAAGCTGAAGTCTGGGAGGAGGTGACTGAGTGAAACGCGCTCAGCTTTTCAGAGCATACATGGACCCTGGTGGGCACTGACGCATGGCCCGGCGTTCTGGAAACTGCTGGGATCATTTGGTGCAGCGAAATTAGAGCAGAAATTAAAACAATCCATGCAATTAGCCACAAGGTGGCCTCAGGACTTCACCTACTGCTGGGAGCCCAGCAGCAAGGTGCAAGGCGGCGGCGTCCCTTGGATTTGCAGCTGGACAGACGAAGGACACAGGGCATTTATGAGCAGTGAGGGTGGCCCAGGCTTCCTGCCGTCCACCTGCCCCACTGCCTCTCAGCATGGGCAATTGAGGAGCATCTTGCTTTCTGCTTTGCTGGGTAGCCAGGGCTGGGATTGGTAGGGACCTAAGTCTGATTGGTAGGTGGTCTGGGCTGCTGTAGGAAAGAGTTAAAGAAAGGTTAGGGCAGCCCCTTTTCTCTGCCGTGGTGTCAGTGCTTACTTTTCACAAATGGAGTTTAACAGAAGTTTTTCTGTTGGCTTTCTTTTGTGTATGTGGATTGTATCAGAAGCTCCAGTAGCAGACATTTTTATCCTTGGAATTCTAAACAAACCAAATTTTCATCTCCCAATAGGAAGAACATCCTATAGATATTTAAAACCTAACAGAAAGCATCAACTGTTCACAGTTACCTCCAAAATATGGGTGGTTTAGAAACTCCTCTAGGTTGCATACAGGCAAAATGGGAGCTGGCCTTGCTTTATTTCATAACAGTCTTGTGTCCAGTCAGTTGGGCACATGCTCTATTGATCTGGTTATATATGAGACAGGAAAACTCCTAAGCACATATTCCCAAATGACCAAATTGCTGTGAAGTTTGAATGAGACAGATATGTCAGATAAGCATAAAACCAAATGTTTTGTAGGACGTTTTAAAAGAACTGGGTCTTGTTCGTCATAAAAACTCAGGACAAAGTATTGGGACCCATGGTGCCTGGTTTGAAAGATGAGTCAAATATACTCTGTTTTATTTATTCAATGAGCATATTGAAGTGAAGCTAAATTAAAAATGAATCTAAAGCTCCCAGGGATTACATTTTTTAAAGCATTTTTTAAGACTCCCATGGTTAGATCACAGCAGTAGCATTCACCAGTTTACAGTAAGGAATTTTCATTGCATTAAACATCAGTGATGCTGCTCTTTTTACAGTCTGTGGAATTTACCATTACTCATACCTTCTCCGTCTGGGGAGGCTTTGACATCACTTTAGCTGGGAGACATGCAGTTCTTGGAAATATCCTACCTTCAGAATTCAAAATCTGCTACTTAGCTTGAGAAGTGAATCCATTAATTTGAAGAAAATAGAGATGATTTTTTCCTTTGTGGATTTTTTTTTGTTTCAAATGAGAAGTTTACATAGAAATTTAAAAAACCCCTGAGATACTGACCTGGGTCGTTAGTGCTTGGAAAGAATGTCCGACCTTTCCATCCATCTGTTCATGAAAATCGTGCTCTGTTTTTCCCACACTGCAGTGTTTGCGTCAGAGGTGCCTGGGGAAGAGTCTCAGTCCTCTGACCAGCCAAAGAGACACTGGTGACGCTGTCTTTGCCTCTCGTGGAGGAGGCGCCAGCATTGCTAGCAGAAGCAGAGGCTTTAGGTGTTGGGAATGGGCCTATGGCCCTATGCACCAGGATACATCTGCTCCACTGGGAAGCAGCCCGAACGCTGGTGTTCCCAGAGGTCTTGAATGGTTGCCCTCTGTTTGCCACAGGGGATACAAGACAGTTTTTCTGAGGCTGTTGAGAACTCTGCAGTGTTAATAATATTGCAATTTGAGATGACAAGATAGTTAAATTCATGGGGAGAAGCAGGGAATGCTGCATAAAGGGAGAAAATACTTAACATCTTACATGTAGGATATTTAATCCTGTGAAGCAGAGACCCCCAAACCAATCTATCCTACCAGACATTGCAAATGAACCCAACTCCCAGAAGAGCATATTTGTAGTTAATGCAGATAACAGTCTGAACTATGGGGATATGCATAGTACAGAGAAGGGGAGCGTATGTGGGGAAGCACAAGGAATGGTTCAAAAAGTAATTACTTTAGAGAAGTCACTTAGTGACTTGGTCTACCCCATTCCCCAGCTGCCCTGTCCAGTGTTGTGTCATTCGACCATCAACATGCTCTTGTCAGTCCTCACACATCATCCTCGTTCCCTGCATCTCTGTGGCTTGTGAATCATAGGTGTTTGCTCTCACAGCACACATCTTACTGCAACATTTGTGGAATAGAAACCAGTAACTGGCTCAGCAACCCAAGGGAAAAGGAAAAGGAGGGATCAAGCGAACATGTACCTATGTGTCCTCTCTCTGCCATTCTACTGAGCTGCTCCTTGGTCTCTGATCAGCACTGAGTGTTGCTGTTAGACTTGGAGGATATTAGACAGCAGACATCCCCCAGCATCTGTAGTCCTCTGTGCAGACCACTTATACCGCTAGCCGTGGCCGCTTGTCTGGGCTTTGTCCCTCTCCCTCTGCTCATGCACGCCATGGAGTAGGAGATGTCCCATCTTCTCCTGCTTCTGAAGGTGGAGGAACCAAGCAGGCTCCTCCTCTCCTACATTCAAGTAAAGGTGGCTGATGATGGCTGTGCTAAGAAGAGACATGGTGGAGCTCCAGTTGCGGGCAGCTGGTGCTGACTGTCAGAGCAGATTAAGGTTTTAGAGGGCCTAATTAGCACTTGTTACTTTGGTTATGTTCGCTTATGATTAGTTACGGTGAAATTGTTGTAGAAAGTCACAGGCTTACTTAAGCAGAAATTAGCTATAAACATTAAAAATAAATTATAAAAATGCCTAAGGGAAACTATTCTGGCTTCTCTAAAAATATAGCATTCAGTTGGCTAGGCAAATTCCTGATTAAGCAAGCAGCTGTGCTGTGTCCACAGGGGAACCAGCATTCCTCCAGTTTCATTAACAAAGGTGTCAAAAAGTGGGATTATTCTGGGTAAGTGAGGACAGTGGTGGCTTCTCCCACAGCCAGGAGCTGTGCTGCTGGAGAACGTCCCCTGTTTCTCCTGAATGGTGGCCAAGGAGGGGTGTCTCGGGGATGTAGTAGGAACACAGCTGGGTAGAGATGCAGACATAACAAATGTTTACAGCAAAATACCCTGGCAGCATTGTAAGGGCAGCCCTTCCAGTCTCATAAACTCTCATTTGCACAGGAGCTCTCCCAGCACTACTGTTAGCTCTTCAGCAGCTTCCCTGGCCAGAAAGCAGCTACAAGGAGAGGTAACACCAGGAATAGGTGCTGTTTCCTGGCTTGGGCAGAAGGAGCTGTCGTCTGTGATGAGCAGGGTGCCAGGACAGGTGCTTGGATGCTCCTGGTGCTGGGAGAGTCTGTGTGGCTGCTGGAGGGCTCCTGTAGGGGTATGAAATGGGGTCGTGTGTGCCTGTTGGGTGGAGGGAAGGGGTGAGCCTGTGACAGAGACTGTGCTAAGGGCACATGGCCAAATACTTTCTGACAACTGCCGTTTACTTGGTTATAGAGGCTGGGGTGCTGGGGGCAAAGGCGGCCATGAGCGAAAGGGTGACACTGCAAGTCTGAGTTGTGCTGCTCTGGTAGCTGAGTCCCAAAAGTCACCCGACAGATCGGATTATCAAAGAGGAGAGCTGCGCCCTGGGGACATGCCAGTGTCCCAGGGGAGACCTGATCTGCAGGGCTGTGGGCAGCATGACCCTGCTGAGAGCTGGGGTGGCAGCCTCCACCAGGGCTGCGGGAGAAAAAACTATCACCCACCCTGAGGAAGGAAAGAGGAAGGATCAAAGAAGGAGGGCTCTGCGAGCGGAGCAGGGATGAGAAGGTCTTTGCTGATATGTGAGACTTCTCTGTGATCGGGGTTAGCAGTGAGGGCAAATGCAGCTTGGGCTGGTCTGGCAGGCTGAGCTGCGGCCTGCAGTCATCCCTGAGCAGTTCTGGGTTTCAGGTGAGTGGGCTGCTAGCAGCAGTATGGGTTGGTGGGCTGAGGAGTGTCATTTTTTTTCTTTTTTTTTCAGGTAGAGAAGTCCCCTGTCTCATAGAAGAGGATGGAAATCTGTAGGAAATGTACAAAATGGGCAGCCGCAGCAAAACAGCTCCCTCTGTGCAATGGAGACAACAATGTTTTCCCACTTGTCAAGCTGCTTGCTTCTTGTGCACC